TGGGGCTTGCGTGCATAGAGATTATAAATAACACTAGAGGAGGCATTGTAATCTTAATTCAGTAAAAAAAGGGAACGCGACTATTGGGGAGCAAATTCAAGTCCCGGATGTGTATTCGTGTTCCCATTGATGACGAGTTTCAAATCAGCCAATGAGAGCACGATTTTATATCCGGGACTTGAATTTGCCCCCCCATTAGCTGCGTTCCCAATTTTTAAACTCGATGCCTCCTCTAGTGTTATTTATAATCTCTATGCTTGCGTGGGGCGTTTAAACACAAAATTACATAAAGTAAGCAGCGAATAACGACCGCTGACACACATTTTCAACATGATTGTGAACTCGTGTTTTGCAAATACGCGGGAATTTTATTCAAAATACTAGAAAACAGTGGAAAATATACAAGAAAACAAGGAAAAACCGCCACAAAAATCATAAAAGAATGCAGTTTTTCCTTGAGATGCCTACGTTAAACCAAGGTATAGCTGTTTGGCAATTATATATCAGTGTTTCTTGGTGTAATGGACCATACTTCGTCTTCGAGAAATCGTCCTGTGCAAAAATATGTTCTGTTTTCGTAAAACACCAAAGCGATAGCGTTTGAAGAGTTTATATTGTCAGGAAACATTCACAGGGAAGATAGCGATTGAAAATCTCAGGTAACCGTTGCTTTTCATTGTTGTTTTATTGAAAAATGTTGTTCACTCCTATACAAACGCCATTTTTAACTACGTTTTGGACAGTTAACTATACCCTACAGCATATATAGTTAACTTTAACTACTTTTTAACTGCAGTTAAGGCTAACTACACTTCTATACAACCGGCTTAACTACGTGATTAAAGTTAACTATTTTTTAAGGCTTTTAACTACGTGATTAAAGTTAACTATTTTTTAAGGCTTTTAACTACTTTTTAATTGCAGTTAGCGCCAGTGGTTAGCGCTAAGGGGCGGACCATTAGAAATCCCGGGAGGGGGGTATAAAATTTTTGCGGCACGAATTTTTTTTTTAGTCTCGTACCTCTGCAGGAATTTTTTTAATGCATTTAACCTCTGCACGAATTTTTTTTCAAGACTATTTGTACTTCGCTGTTTGCTTGCACGAATTTTTTTTCTCTGACGTAATGGCTGCACGAATTTTTTTCCCAGGCATTTTCCTTTGCACGAATTTTTTTTTTGAAATTTTTACCCCCCCCCCCTCCCGGGATTTCTAATGGTCCGCCCCTAACTACGTTTTTATACAACCGGCCCCAGGTCACAGATATGTCTTATCTACTCTGTGCCCAGGGGCCGGTTGTATAAAAACGTAATTAGCGCTAACTGTAATTAGCGCTAATCACTGTAGTTAAATCCTTAACTGTAACAAGACGCCTACTCAGGCGTTCACTCCGCCTGCCGGCCTGCGGAGAATATGGGGACAATGTAGGGTGCGACGGAAAAGTGAAGCCAAATATAAGCATTCAAAGACAAGTTGGTGTTCATAGCATTCAAAGATAAGTTGGCATTCATGGCTTTCAAGGTTAAGTTGGCATTCATGGCATTCAAAGTTAACTTGGCATTCAAAGGAGCAATGGCATTTACACACTTCTTTGAATTTTCATAAGAAAGTGCCATAACCTATAAGAGACAGAAATAGGATATTAATTCTGACACACCAATTCTGTTTGGCCCATCATTGTAATAATAGAGGCCCAAAAAGCATGTTTGAGTGGCTTGGTAGGTGTTCTGCCCAGAGTCCTAGTAGGGTTGAATTAAATACATTACACAACACATAGTATCTATTAACACACAATGGCAGTAGAAAGAGCAAAGCAAGCAAACCCAAGCTGGCTGTGAGTTCAAGAAGCTGACGTTTCTGTTATTTGTTAACATGACTATATAAATTCATAGATTATATTCTTGTCTTGCAACCAATCCCTTGAGAATTAAAAGAATGTGCGAAATTCAGTAAAAAATAATGAGATTCTTTGTCTTAATACTACCACATGGCTATACCGTTTCCGGTAGTTGCGTACTAAACGTGTATAGTAAATTATAAACACGACAGCTTCAACACTACATTTCCTAAACTCTTCAAAACATTGAAATATATTTAATAACCCGATACTGTAGCCTCAACACTACATAGCCTAAACTCTTCAGAACATTGTAGGGACCTTTCACACAAGAATATATTTTGCTAGTCAAGAATATAAGATCGACATTAATACGACATACAGTAGGAGTGAATATTTATATTTATGGCTTTAAAGAATTTCTTGTTGCCAAAATGCAGCATGTACTACCAAAATTAGAATGTTTAGTATCCCTTACCTCAGTTGAGTCTGGAAGCTTTGTCTTGACATTCATCTTTTTAGTATTTTTCATCGTTTAGTATTTTTCATCGCACAAGACCGTTTCGCAGTTCGCAGTTTAGAAAAATACTGTAAGCAGAGCTGTAAGCATGCGCATTGCGCTGCCAAATCGTATAACATTATCCACAAATGTCAATAGAAAGTATCTAAATATCATGGAATGTACACATTTATCAAGGAGCCTGTTTGTGACACTGACGACAACCGACAACAGACTCAGGCATTTTTAGACTCCGCACTGCGCATATGCGCAGGCGGAGTAATTAGTTAACTACATGACTTAACTGCGTTGCACAAAACGTAGTTAGTCGGATAGTTAACTAATCACGTAGTTAAATGTGCGTGGGGCTTGCGTGGGGCGTTTAAACAGAAAATTACATAAAGTAAGCAGCGAGTAACGACCGCTGACAAACATTTTCAACATGATTGTGGACTCGTATTTTGCAAATAGGCGGGAATTTTATTCAAAACACTAGAAAACAGTGAAAAATATTTATTTATTTATTTATTTATTAAACTTTGCCAAAAACACTTAACAGAACAGCAAATAGACATCTACACAATAAACATGGACAAAAATGGCAGGGACACCACAACAGTGTAAACCAATTACTGTGGGCCCTATACAAAAATACACATACAGTACAGAATATATAACATACAGTACATGGACAGGAGACTAAAAACAACAAGTTAGGTCAGAACGTAAGTAACGACTAGTGTTACACTTCAGACAAATAGTCTTCCATGTCCTCGGATCTTCTTCGTCGAAGCATTCTCTCAGGGCTGTCAGGTAGTAAGTTTGTAAATCGGTTTTGAATTGCCTAATATGAATGTCAGGAGATCTTAGTGTAGTTGGTAAAGAGTTCCAAGTTCTGGATGCACGAATAAAGAAGGAGCGTTGGTAGGTAGAGGTTTTGCATTTGGCCGGACGGAAGGAGATTTGGTTGCCACTGGAGGATCTGGTCGTTCTGGTTTGGGACATGACTTCGGGGAGGACGTCATGAGACACGTCGACCAAGCCGTTCACCGCTTTAAAAAAGAACACGAGATCCAAATATTCGTGCCAGTAAGATAGCGGTAAGAGACCCAAACTGGCAAGTCGTTCCCGATAAGTCTCACTGCACAAGTACGGAAGGTTTAAAATGTACTTCGTTGCTCTTCTTTGGACCCGTTCCATACGTTGGATGAGGGTCACGGTTTGAGGCGACCAAACCTGGCTCGAGTAACCAAAAACCGACCGAACCAAAGACAGATACAGAGTCCGGCGGGTCCTCGCGTCGCTTATTTCCCCAGAACATCGCTTTATAAATCCGAGGAGTTTGTTGGCACGGGTACACCGGTCTAAAATGTGTTTAGACCAGGTTAGATCGCTCGCAATCCAAATTCCCAGATCGTTCTCTGCTGGTGTAAGTGCAAGTTCTTTGCCTTTGATGCTATATAGATGATGGATTGGTTGACTACGTCTGGTAATGCTAATACTTTTGCATTTTCCTTCGTTAAACACGAGACCGCTTGACGTGGACCAGGATTGAAGGTTATTGATGTCGTCCAGGAGTAACATAGCATCGGTGATGGAGTCAATTCTACGGAAGATTTTGGTGTCGTTTGCAAAACACGCAACTGTCGAGTTCGTCACAGCGTCTGGTAAATCATTCACATACAGGAGGAAGAGGGTCCTGAGGGCCCTCTTATTGGTCCTAAGATACTGCCTTGGGGAACACTGGAGCACACTGGTTTTCTGGAAGAAGTAGCGCCAAGAGTTGTGACGCGCTGTTGGCGGTCATGTAGATACGATGTGAACCATTGGAGAAGAGATCCGCCAATGTTATACTGTTGGAGTTTGTTTATCAGAGCTGTATGGCTGACCTTGTCAAAAGCCTTTGACATGTCCACGAAGATTATATCGGTTTGTTTACCAGAGTCTAAAATGGATCCAATGTAGTGCAAAACTTCGACTAGCTGGGTTGTGCATGACCTTCCAGGAATGAAACCATGTTGAGCGGAGTTAATCAGGGACATCAGATAATCTCTCAGGTTTCTCAGCACACAGCGCTCGAGGACTTTGGAGGCTACACACAGAAGCGAAATTGGACGGTAGTTTTCAACGTTGGAGATGTCACCTTTTTTATGGATAGGGATGATGTTCGCGAGCTTCCATTCCTCTGGTAAGGAGCCATGTCGGAGTGATTGATTAAACAGTAGACATAATGACGGAGCAATTTGGTGAGCACATTCCTTTAGTATTCTTGGTGGTATTTCATCCGGACCTGTGGCTTTGTTGGTATCGAGGCTGAGGAGTGCAGCTAGAACATCATCAGGAGAAAGAATACAAGAAAACAAGGAAAAATACAAGAAAACAAGGAAAAACCGCCACAAAAATCATAAAAGAATGCAGTTTTTCCTTGAGATGTCTACGTTAAACCAAGGTATAGCTGTTTGGCAATTATATATCAGTGTTTCTTGGTGCAATGGACCATACTTCGTCTTCGAGAAATCGTCCTGTGCAAAAATATGTTCTGTTTTCGTAAAAACACCAAAGCGATAGCGTTTGAAGAGTTTATATTGTCAGGAAACATTCACAGGGAAGATAGCGATTGAAAATCTCAGGTAGCCGTTGCTTTTCATTGTTGTTTTACTGAAAAATGTTGTTCACTCCTATACAAACGCCATTTTTAACTACGTTTTGGACAGTTAACTATACCCTAAAGCATAGTTAACTTTAACTACTTTTTAACTGCAGTTAAGGCTAACTACACTTTTATACAACCGGCTTAACTGCGTGATTAAAGTTAACTATTTTTTAACTACTTTTTAACTGCAGTTAGCGCTAACTACGTTTTTATACAACCGGCCCCTGGCCTATAAATAAATAAACATCGCATTTTCGGATTCATTGTGCTTTGGAAATTTGGTATTATATGTAATTATATGTGCGATATTTCATCACAACAAAACTACGGAGATAAACCAATTGTCGACAAAAGATCAAAGATGAAGGAGTGAAAACATCGTTATTTGGTTTGACATATTCAAATTTAGGTAGTGTTCAGTACTATTAAAAGTTTAAAACAGCAATATTATTATTTGAAAGTGTATTAACTATTTGTGACTTAATTGTAGGTATTATTGTAGACTCTTTTCATATAATTTTAAGGAGTCAAGCTTTGATATTGAATTCACCAAACAATATTTAATAAACGATGTTACTGAAGTGTAGGGTTGAAATTATAAACAATCAAACAAAGTAGTTAATACTGATACTGTATTTCTTTAGAATATTCTCGGCATATTTCAAGATGGTTTTTATGTTTGTTTCTAATTTATATTAATTCCAAAGTTGTTTTATATTAATTGAAAAGTTGACAGAACATTAATTAAATCATGATTGAATATTTCGAAGTATATTTATCAGTTATAGACCTGAAACGAGGGGTTTTCCACAAAAAATTACCCTGTGGGATGAAATATTCCGAGGGCGAAGCCCGAGGAATATTTCATCCCGCAGGGTAATTTTTTGTGGAATACCCTGAGTGAAAGGTCTATAAATGGTATATTATACCGAACCTTTCAAAAATAAGTAGAAAACAAATACCATTCAATTAACTTTTAATTTCAAAACACAACTTTTGATAACTTTACATTTAAAGTTTACATTTAAAGTCGAATTTCCCGCTCAAGCGTGGTATTCGAAGTCGAATACCATGGCCCCGGGTAAAACACCCAGGGTTCAAATTGCCTAGGTCATAGTATTCACTGAAAAATACCATGGTCATGTGGTACAAATTTAGTTCTCTGATTGGACAAGCCCATTTGTGAGGTATAATATACAATTTAATACAGCTAGTAATATGGGTATTATCATTGCAAGTCAGTAGCAGACTTGTATGTATATTCTTTTCATGCATGCATGTTAGCTATATATTAAAGAAAATTAGAACAGAATGCTACAATGTTGTTATTTTATGTGATAACAATAAGTACGCTGTTTATCTTTAAGAGCAAGACAAGCAAGCTTACTACTTGCTAACTCTCCATTCGATTTGAACATAGGCATAGGTGTACCGGTGCAGATGACATTTTCCCAACTCAAGCCATGTTCACATGAACCCGGGACAGCGTTATGTCTCGGGGCAAGCAATTGTCGCGGGACAAAAATTGTCTCGGCTCCTTAATAAAAGAATAGTGCTGTTCACATGATATTTTACTTGCCCCGGGGCAAGAATTGAACCGAGTGCCTCGCCTCTGTAGACAGGGACACTCGCCTAGCCGGGACAACTTTTCCTCATGTGAACACTTTGCCCCGGGGCAACTTTGTCCCGGGATAATTGAATTTTTGGTAAAAGGATCAAAATTGTGGCTAAAACTACATTTAGAGCACGTTGGACTCCACAAAAACTTGTTATTTGATTGAAGATATCATTAGAAATCTATAAGTGATGCTTCTAATAATATTAAAATAAAATTGTCGCTAATATCATGTTTGAAACCAAGAAGTGTAGTATGCTACTCAAAAAATTTGATCTGGTCAACCAGAAACAATGAATTGAGGACATTTTATTACGGCTGATAATCAACTACGTTCTATTTGTAAATATCATAACATAAAATACGACTTGCGTTTATCAGAATGTTTTTTATTTAGCAATATTTCACCGTTTCACGTTGGCGGCAATACTTTATGATTCCCGCGTAATGTATTTATAGGCATGACCCGCGCTAGCTTTGTTCATGTGAACAGAAGATATCAGTATCCCGGGTCAATGACTTGTCGCGGGACAGTTGCCAATCCCGGGATCATGTGAACAGGGCCTCAGCCTGAAAAAGTGAAAATGCCCAACCTTCGATTCCTCCCCATCCCAGCACATGCACACACAGAGGTAAAACACATACATGTTTAAGTCTTCAAAGTACCGTAATGTAATTGTGATTACTGCATTAACTGTGTAATCACAGTATTATAGAACGTTTGCACATGACGTCACAGCCGCCAAGTTGGTGTTCCAATTCAAGAGAATTTTAATTAGACTCTTTTGTCTGGAACACCAACATGGTTGCCATGACTTTTGTTGAGTTGATCCCTGGGGAAGGAGTGCAAACGCTCTGTTTACTAGTAACTAATACTAGTTTTTCAATGTTCTGAAATTTAGGGGTGGGGCGAATTGCACGAGGCACCAACTTGGTTGGCACTAACTGGGAAAGTTTTTTAAGTTTGGAATCCTAGATTGTCAGAAATGGCATTTTCAGAGTTTTCTCTACCTGTTTTGTTAGACATGTAGGCTGTAGTACTATAATATATCTATAAGTTTGCTCTTTTTAAATTCAATTTATTCCCCCCCCCCCGTATTTTATACCCGACTTTGTCGACTTTTATGCTCTATTTTTGCCAACTTGTCGACCTTTCATCGATATATATATTAAATTCAATTATTATGTAACATGTGTAAATTCTGAATGCTGATTGGCTAAAAGCAGTATTGCTATAACTCAATGTCAACACAGAAAGTTCCCGCCGCACTTTAATTCAATTTTAAATAATTATTTTCTTTTTTCTTATTTCCTAGTGCTGTATTATAAAAAATGTAAAACATCTTTCCTTGCTGATATTGAGTTATATTCATGGAAGTTGAGAGAACTCGAAATTATGTGGGGAAAACTTGCCCTTCAGGCATCAGGTTTCCACAAAACTGTCTCATTATAGTCTTTATTTAACTTTATCAACGCAGAAAGATGTTTTATAATTCTTAAATATTCACCATACCACCTAATTTTTTAAATTCAACACAATACAGACATTGGGCTGCTATATACAGCTATTTCAATTAAGGTTATCCACGAGCAAAGCGGAAAAGTCGAATACGAGCGCGAAAGAATGCTGGGAATCGCCAACAAATGAACGAATGTTCATAGCGATTCCCAGCAGCCTTTCACGCTGGTATTCGACTTTTCCGCTTTTCTCGGGGACAACCTCAACTGAAATAGCTGTATGTTGTGATATGAATTTCAATTTTCTCTCCCAAAGGAATGGCTAGCCACATGTACGCAGTGCGTACCTATTTTTAATAATATGAATTGACATGAACATAAAGGTCCGTTCACACTGGAGGCGATGCTACAACGCGATGCTATTTTCTGATTTTCATAAACAGATAACTTTGATCCTGGTTTAAATTTAAACTTGCCTTTTATACAATTACGTAACAACCACTGTAAAAAGCTTTGCAAAACCGCACTTTCGACCTTGCTTTCGACTACGCTCAAATGACCACGCTGGATTTAAATTTTACGCATCACTGTTCATGCGCATTAATAAGTTCAACCTGCGAGCAGGCTGGGCGAAATTCAAACCGCCCCATCCTGGGGATAAGCAGGTTAGAAAATGTCCCAGGGAGGGGATGAGTTTTGTTATCAAACCCCCTATACTGTCCTGGCCTCCCCCCCCCACAGGGTTTATGCATGAGTCAATTCCATGAGTGACCATCCCCCCCCCCGGAACACTGCCGGGAATTAGCTGGGCACGGCATTCCCGGGGGGCGTGAATTGGCTCACAGATTAGTGCCCCGGGGCCGGACATTGGTTAGCGGCTAAAAGACCCCCGGACATTTGACACTAGCGGAAAAATCGCTATGATCGCTGGTCAGTGACGTCAGTCGTCACTCGCGCCTTGTGTAGTTGACTTTTGTAGTTTTGTGTCGGTCGTGTGTTTAATATTATATCTGAGTGTAGTTTCTTTCATTGCAGCTTTATTATTAAATGACAAAACTGAGAAAGTGCTAATTTGCAATATATGTATTTCCACTTGGCATCACCACTTAATGCACGAATCTAAAGACAATTTCTATGTATATATTAAAGGAAGAGATTTGTTAATAATGTTTATAGTTGAAGCTTGTTAATTAATGTTTAAATTAAATAATACAAAATAATCTCTGATAATACACTGTTACTGAACTAAAGTTTAATACTAGAATACAGTTTTAAGTTAGACGGTTTATACCCCCATGCATTACGTGGTTTTTTAACGATACTGACGTAAAACATTTTTTAATATATCCCGGGGGTGGGACATTTGCCACCTAACAATTGTCCGGGGGGCCGTACATTTACCCTCCTGGTGTCTCCCCGCGGCCGGGAATTTGCCCTTTCTTTCCAAAAGAATGCTAATGTCCGGGTATATTCCGGGGGGGGGGATGGTTACTCATGGAATTGACTCATGCATTACATTGATAGGTGCACAAAACTCTCAATCAGATATAAACCGCTTTATATTTTCAAGTCTTGTACTAACACACACTAACTTATTGCCAAAAAGCAAAACAATACAAAGGATCGTACCTTCTTTTGTCCAAATTGGCTGGCATTCATAAATTTTTTCACGTCCAGGAACCCAGGGTGAATCCCTCAATTTTTCTGCGCCGAACATTTTTCGAATTCATGTAAAGCTGCGCCAAAACCTGCGCCAAGAAAATTGTCGCGAAAAAATATGCGGTTTTTGGGAATTTTCGAAATTTTCACCAAATATTCAAAATTTGGCTTTTCATTCCTTTGCTTTCAAATCATAATTTCAATGCTCAATTGCTTCACCAAATCTTTGCCAAATTGCTGCGCCAAATGGATCTTTGGGATCATTCTGCGCCAAATTGCTGCGCCAAATCGATCAATCTGCGCCAAAAACGTGCGCCAATTGTTGTTCGAGTCGCTGTTCTGCGCCGAAGATCTTTCGGAAATACACCCTCAAATTCAGTCTGGCGGTAAAGACCTAGCTATATGATCGAAGCTTATGATTGGCTAATTGCCTTCCAAGGTAGTGAAGGTAGTGACCAATCGTATTGCAATAATGAGTTGTCCCCATTCTCCAGGCGACAACAAATGCAGCGCGCCGAGGAACACATGCAGAAAGCACGCAGAAAAAATTGAGAAGTTACTGTCTGTATGTGTAAGAAAATTGCATCAACTTTTGGGTTTTTTGGCTCATCATGATGTGAAATTGCAAAGACTGTCACTACAGTATATCCAGAAAGACTCACTTGTCATTGGTAAAGTTGTTTATTTTATTTATTACTGAAATTACTTGTCACTGGTAAAGTTGTTTATTTTATTTATTACTGAAATTATGTACATATTAATTTTGGCCTTGCAACGTGAACAGGCAGTTTTTCTTTGACATTTTTGTCAACAATGAATAAGGAGCACAATATATATTTGTTTAATAAATGTTAGACCTATTTGTAGACCATTGCCCATTAATTTATATTAGCAGTTGACCTCAATAAAATTAACTCATCTATTAATAAATCTGCACATAATTAGTTCCATTTTCTTGTATTATAGTAACATTTTTGCTAATATGGGATGTTGAGCTTTATAAATAAAAACTTTTGGAAGATGGCTTTCACTCTACGACAGACAGCCTAAGTACTTTTGGTCTGTTTATATGGGGTTAACCCAACCTAGATTAGCTATATTTCATTAATTACTTTATTGTTATTTAAGTATTTACATTAGCAAATGGTGACCGCACAGGACATAGCCCCAATTATTACAGCTACCATATAACAACCTAGGTTGGTTATTCAATTTATGTTGTGGCAAGCATGGACTTGGTGGAACAAAACGGCTAAGCAAAAAACTATATTCACACAAGCAAATCTCAAAGTCATGCCATCTAGAAACATTAATTGATCGAGCCATTTGAGGTATAAAATGTGTAAAAAAATATTAAATACAACATGTTGTCATGATCCATCATCACCTTAAGCTCTAATCCTATTTGAGCTGCCATTAATTGCCAACTGAACTACTGGAGATTCAGGGATATTTTATATTTGACCAGGCAGACAATAGAAGTTTAAAGTAATCTGACATCACTACCTACCAATATGCCTTAGTTATATAAACCTTTCCTCTTGGGCTGGCCTGCCTAGCCAAGACTCTTTTCCAAGCCTTAGATCTTGGATAACAGCTGGGCATTAAATAATTAATACATAATTCACATCAATCTGTTGATATAAAGAACATTTCTTTATTTTCTTAGGGGGTATTTATATGGAGGAGAGCAGCCTCGTACCCAGGTGCAAATAACGTACTAAAAATAGGAACACTACAGTGTTTTTATATTGATCAGTGGCTAAGAAGAGTGAGCGCGCGGGAGTGCTTGGGGAGGACGCGATGGGATTCTGCAGCTTCGTTTCCCGCCTCCCCAAGCACCCCCGCGCGCTCGCTCAGCTACTGATCTATATAAAAACACTGTAGTGTTGCTGTTTTTAGTACCGTACGTTATTTGCATCTGGATAACGAGGCTGGGAGGAGAGCCAGCCCAGATACCTGAGCTAGCTCTTGCTTTGCTGAGATCTAACATCGCTATGTAATTTATACTAACATTTATCTTGTGTTTAAATGGGAACCGAGCTGGCCTGCCTAGGTGAGATCTTGAAAAATAAAAATATGTTTACTTATATTATACTATTTATAGCAGTAAGACCAATCAGTTGTTTTGGCAAGACAACCCACCTCAAAAGTCTCAAGTAAACATGGGATAAAATCAGCTCAGCAAAGAGAGCTAGCTCGGGTACCTGTATGGGCTGGCTTACCTCCATATAAACACCCCATTAGAAGTTAAAATTTCTTTTGAAATATCTCTGAGGGATAAAACCTTCAAAACTTTATTGTTGACAAAAATTTCATGTAGACAGTATCCAGGAAAATTGCCTTTTCATATTGTAAGGCCAAAATTATGTACATAATTTCAGTAATAAATAAAATGAACAACTTTACCAATGACAAGTGAGAGTCTTTATGGATATAGTGACAGTCTTTGCAATTTCACATCATGATGAGCCAAAAAAGTGAAAAACCCCAAAAGTTGATGCAATAAAGAATAATAGATTAATTCCTAAGTATTTGCAAACATGTAGCAGTACCTTTTGCATTTATATTGTGGAAAAATATCTATGTTTTTATTTTATTTCTGTATATTTTTCTCAGAAGAATGATAACAAACTGCATAATACTGCATGCAACCTCTATGCTAAGAGACTTGGACTAGTACAATAACTGTGGCAATCGATACGCCAGACGGAAATCTTAGTTTAAAGATAAAGAGCTAAGCCCAGCAAATAACTTTAAAACCAAACATAATAAAAGTAAAGATTTAATTAGCTAACGTTTCATTGTTTACAATACAACATCTTCAGAGCAACATAGACGGATTTTGTGGGGGGTGCAGGGGGGCGCTACTCCCCCTCCCCAATATTAGCTATAACCCCCCCCCCCAAAACAAAATGTCCACCCCTCCAAAAAAATTTTCAACCCCCCCAATATTCGGCATAATAAAAAATAATTAAATAGTCCACTCCAACGTGCAGAGTGTTGATGATACAAAATAAACGTAGGAGTACACTCAAATAGAAAAAGACAGTGCAATACTCTGAAACTAATCGCTCCTCGCTTGCATTCACTGGTTTATTGGCGCAATTGTAAAGTTTTGAATCGAAACTCTACTATCTCCCCTTGCAGTGCCCTGTCATGCAAATAGCTTGCTCACAAGGGAACGTTTGGAATTTTTACGAACATTATTTTTAGTTTTTAATTCTTTTAGGAAATAGACTTGCCTAGATTTAATCTTTACGCCACAAATATTATTTACATCGGAATTGCGTCATAAATTGTACTCGGATTCAAACGACACAATGTCAATGTCTTTATAAAAGTAAAAACATATTGTGTATTGGTCTATTGGGTTTACACTTTTACAGGTTCATTTACTACTTTAACTCTCTCAAGTCTCGACAGACAATCGGATATGCCAAATCCATTGATATGACAACTTAAAAAAACTTTTTTTCGAGGTTAGAAATCATGATTTTTTTCAAATTTTTTCTAGACCCCCCTCGCGGCTCTAGTGCTCCACCCCTAGAATATAGACCTTACTGGGGTTTGGTGACACTTTGTGTTGCTTCAGTCACCTGCTCACGGCTCACCCCCCTAAAATTTCTGGCACCACCCCAGTAAAAAATATGAAAATCCATCTATGCAGAGCAATCTAAATGAATTTACAAGGTATGGTATATATATTTACAAAATAATGGTTTAATATTACAAAAACGGTTACATAATTTGAAAGAACAAATGAATAGAAAGAAAGGAAAACAACTTATCAGTAACTAGTTAATAGTAAAGATTAATGTTAAGTGCATGGTTAATAGTATAGACTATAGTTAAGGTTAATATTACATAACCAAAATAACTCGAGAGGGGTAGATCTAATATTAGCATTAAGGCAGGGTTAAGTTGAGAAATTAATAGGCTTTCACAGATAAGAAGATCCCACTCAGAAGTGCCTGATGATAGAATTTTGAAATCAGAAGCGGAGTCACAGCTAAATACGGCCTATGCTTCAACTTCTTTAATCTTTATTCAGTTTCTACTAAATTTCCAATGAACATAGAACATATTCTACAAATCGTATGTTTTTTGTTTTTGGAACTGCTACTTTTTGGCGCGGAAATTACATCACAAATCGGCTCTAATCTAATCATGGGGGGTACACTGAGCGTCCGTCGAAGGCGAGTGACAATCAAGGGATCGCGCGGGGGCCTGGCCTCCGGAAAAATTTTAAAACTAGAGTCTGTGAAATACCATTTCGTGCACTTTACGTCTTTAAAAGGAGATTTACAGAGTTTTAAAGGTACTTCACAAACATAGATGGTGAGTTATATTGTGATAATATAATGAGTTTCCAAACTATTTATTCTATTAACTAAGGTGGGAGTGAACACTCCCGGCCCCTGCTGGACCAAAACTATGAAATGTTTATAGCCCCCCCCCCCCTTCTTCGGTATATCGAGAACTTTCAGAGCTCCCCCTTTATTTAATGCCAGAAAATATTTCGGTGCCCCGCCCCCTTAACATCTTCATCCCTTGCCCTCAGCATAATAAATGTACTTTCCCTAAAGAGCATAAAAGTTGCTCAAAAGTTGCGCGAAATAAAAAAAGTTGCTACTTATAAAATTCAAAAATTTGTTCGTACTCATTACGTTAATTTCACGACATACATTAATTATAAAGCTTTATACAATTTCTGCAGGCCTGGATAAATTGTTTGGAATTATAAACAGAAAACTTTTTCTTTACAAAAGCTTAACAAATGAGAGAACAAAAGTCATACAAAGTTGACATTTTGCTGAACAACATGTGAGATTACCTGGATTAAATATTCTCATTGAAGTACAAAGTAACGTCACAAGTTTTATGTTTTCTTATCTCTGCGTTCTAAATTCTAATATTAATTCTTTCTAGTCTGGAGTACTCATTCAAATATACAGCGTTTGTATAAAATAAAAATGATAATATACGAATACAATAACTACAATAAATATTCATCACACATGTTGTGCCTTTATCAGTGACAGTGCCTTGATGAAACTGACAAGTCTGAGCCGAACGAAAAATTTTGAAAATATGGAGTCCCTATGACGTTGGAAATGGCCTTTACAGAGTCTTTAGGGACCAATCATTATTTATGACTGGGGGTGGGCTGGCACAAAAAGGGGGTGGATCATGAGGTATTTTTGACCGAAAAAGGGGGGGGGCACCTAAAAATATTGGTTCAGAAGGGGGGTGCAGTTATTATAGTAGTATTATAGTGGAGAGAAATTTGACATGTAACGATTATTGCTACCACATGCAGGGAGCAAGCAAGGCAGCAAATTTAATTCATGTATAGCTAGCAAAATTCTCAATTTTAATCAACAGATAGACCCAAAATGCAATGCACAAATATCAAAAATGCAATGCGCTCAGCCAATATGAAAAATAATCGAACATCTACCTTATAACTTTTCCCACTTTTCCCATGAACTTTCCATAAATTTTTGTCATATTTCAATTATGATACATTTTAATAAAAAAGATAATTAACGAGTAGGCGATTACGATGATTACGTCCAGGGAAAGTTTGGGATGTACTACATGCCATGTACTATACACTAGTTTAAACTACGTATTTTAAAGATTGTTTAATTTAGTAAGGAGTTTGTCGGTTTACCGTGTCAAGTCCGAGTCAAATCTGAGCCCAAGTTAAATGTATGTCCGAGTCACTAACTGTTTAGCGGTCTTTGTAGTTTATTGACGTAGTACCCTAACCCTACTCCTGACCCAGGGCTTTAGCACTCCCAATAATTTGCTAGCTAATAATCATTCTTTTTCCAAAATCATACAGACCTTTATCATTTAAATAATATACACCTTTAAAATATACTGACAATTGATTAATTTTAAGCAGCTACATTGATCCATGACAAACTTACGGTGGCCCACACCGGCAACACAGAAATATAATAGAACTGCGGAAGAATATTTCTTATTACTGATACATTATAAATATATAAAGAGTACAACAAATATATCAGTTTCAGTACGCAGAAATATTTCTCAGTACGCAGATATATATTTTCAGTACGCACAAATATTTCTCAGTACGCGGATATATATATTTTCAGTACTCAGAAATATTTCTCAGTACACAGATATACATTTTCAGTACGCAGAAGTTTCAGTATACGTAGAAATATTTCTCAGTACGCAGATATATATTTTTATTAGGTATCTTTGTATATTCTTTTTCGGCAATTTTTAACTAAAATTTCACCTTGTTCACCAAGGTATAGAACGCGTACCCAAACCTTAGGCCTAGTGTCGTTTTCGTCAAAAAAGTTAGTGCGAGAACGATACGTACAAAATTTGTTTTTTTCAAACAAAGACAAAATTCCTAATCTTTAGAAATCTAGTGTAGTTTATGAGGTGACATGTCCTAGCTGTTTCGCAACGTATATTGGGAAAACAGAAAGACGTTTACAGACGCGACTCGCTGAGCATACTAGTATATCCGACCAAAAGTGCTATTGCCGATTGGACAGCATTTTCACAACTGCGAGCATGTGTAATACATTGTGAACCTACACTTTGCTTTTGACAAACTTAACAACCCAACTGACCCTGACAATAACGTTTCCACTTTTATTTCCAATTTAATAATTGATAACTCTCGAATTCTTCACACTATTTTTTCTCGCACATCTTATTTTCTCTTGTTGCTTGAAGCTCTATATATCAAGTACCATTCACCTAGTTTAAACACTGGACTCAAAGCCAGCTAAGAACTTAAGCTTTTTTCTTAATCTATACACCCACATTTCATCACACTTACATATCACTCCACCTGTCGTGGTTCTGATTGAGACTTCCGTTATGTCATCATGCCTATTGTAACTATACTTTATAGTTAGTCTGATGATGATTTTACTCATTATTACTCACTCACTTTCTTGTTTTACTCATATTTTGGGTTTCAAGATGCTTATCTTCGGCTTATGTTCCTATATGTTTCTGACCTACAGAACTTATCTTGTTGGTACTTATCTATTATGCTTATTATTATGTTGGTACTTACCAACGACTGGAATAGTCTGCCTGTGGATATCGGAAATGTATATCAAATTAAAACTTTTAAAAGTAAACTAAAGAAACATTTAGCTACATAGGTCATAGCCATAGGACTCTCTACCGAACCGATAGGATGCGAACTTTATGCTATATAACTTTTCATATATTCACTTTTGTTAGTTTTATATTTTTATTCTTTTTATTTTTTATCAAGGCTCCACTGAAAATCACTTTCGTGAGTGGACCCCCTCACTAAATATTGTAATTATTATTATTATTATTTTGAGTGCCAAAGCAGTAGTTGTTCGTTTTAAATCACTCTGTTCTTCCGTTGAAGTAATTTCTTCAATTTCTTTCTGTTGTGCCCTAGTCTTTGCATCTTCGTCAACTTGGCCTTTCGCTTCGAGGAAAGCTTCTCCTTCCTTCGCTGTTGCTACCATAGTGTTGTCACGTTCGAGTTTAGCTACCTCTTCGGCCATTTTCTTCAACGATTTACGGTTTTGAGGCTAAAATAATAATACGTACATTGTCAACTATGGGCCCATTCATTATTTGTGACTGGGGGTGGGCTGGCAAAGAAAGGGGGTGGGTCATGAGGTATTTTTGACCGAAAAAGGGGGCACCTGAAAATATTGCTTCAGAAGGGGGGATCCAGTTATTTATTATAGTGGTATTATAGTGGAGAAAAAATTGACATGTAACGATTTTTGCTACCACAGGGAGCGAGCAAGGCAGCAAATAAAATTTATGTACATAGCTAACAAAATTCTCAACTTTAATATTGAAAAGCAGCTTGAATATGAAAAACAATTGAACATCTACTTTTATAACTTTTGCCGTGAATTTGCCATTAAATTTTATCATATTTCAATATGTACATTTTAATAAAGAAGATAATTAACGAGTAAGCGATGTAGCAACATTAGGTCCAGGGAAAGTTTGGTATAAACTATATACACTACTCACTAGTTTATTCTAGTTTACTAAATTAAACCTTGTATAAAATACCTAGTTTTTAACTTGTCGAGGCGGGCATAATTTTTCAAGTTCTTCCCAATTAAAGCAACAACGCATTCGAATGCACCTTTTTATTCTACTTTGACAAAATCTCATACTGCAGTTTTATTCATCAACTGGAGAGCCTTGCGCTTGCATCGGCTTTCTTTTACTGACGGTAGCGGAACAGCAACCTTTTTTAGTAAAGCTCAGAGCGATGGTTACCTTTTTTAACATTAACTACCTATATTACTTTGACTATCTTGATTACCTTTCACTTCCTAGATTACCTATATTACCTTGACTTTCAAGCTTACTTGGATTACCTTGACTAACTAGATTACCTAGATTACCTCCACTACTTAGATTACCTTGACTACCTAGATTACCTCCACTACCTAGATTACCTTGACTACCTAGATTACCTTGACTACCTAGATTACCTCCACTACCTAGATTACCTCCACTACCTAGATTACCTTGACTACCTAGATTACCTTGACTACCTAGATTACCTCCACTACCTAGATTACCTTGACTACCTAGATTACCTCCACTACCTAGATTACCTTGACTACCTAGATTACCTCCACTACCTAGATTACCTCCACTACCTAGATTACCTCCACTACCTAGATTACCTTGACTACCTAGATTACCTCCACTACCTAAATTACCTCCACTACCTAGATTACCTCCACTACCTAAATTACCTCCACTACCTAGATTACCTCCACTACCTAGATTACCTAGATTACCTCCACTACCTAGATTACCTAGATTACCTCCACCACCTAGATTACCTCCACTACCTAGATTACCTCCACTACCTAGATTACCTCCACTACCTAGATTACCTCCACTACCTAGATTACTTCCACTACCTAGATTACCTTGACTACCTAGGCTACATAACCTAATACTACGCATACGTAATACGAATATATAATGCAAAGTTCCGCAACAAATCAATTTAATTAACTTAAACCACTACAGCCAATCACAAGCCTCAATCATATAGCTAGGTACTGACCCACCCATGCCGATATTGATGTTGTATGTGATGTTATATGATAATTATGTTCGTAATAGATGAAAGTTATGATGACGCGACGTTGTAATTTTATATTGAATATAGTTAGATCAGCGAGTAGAGCGAATTAAGCTTATTAACCGTTTTGATTATGCGTGTTTATTATACGAGAAAGTTTCTGTCAATAACAACATGCAGTACTCGCTGATTTATGAAACGCTTTATTCATATTTTTTATTCAGCCCCCTATATATATCTACCTAGAAACAAAATACCTACAGTAAGAACTTGTGCAATTAAGTTGTCTGCATCCTCTCGCTTATTACATCCATATAGCTACTTTGTTTTGAAGCTGTCGCGCAGCTTAGTTCAATGAATCTTTACGCCGCAAAACCGATCTTGTCTAAAAGTACACACGAGTGACCACGAGTGACCACGAATGACCACGAGTGACCACGAATGACCACGAGTGACCACGAGTGACCACGAATGACCACGAGTGACCACGAGTGACCACGAATGACCACGAGTGACCACGACTGACCACGAGTGACCACGAGTAATTTCTGTGTTTAAAAATCATGAAATAATAATAAAAACTATTTTAAGGTGGCTCCCTAAGGTTTTTGCATTATACTGCACTATAGTATCCAGAAAACGCCTGTTTCTTCACTTTATCACTAACATGAAGACGAAATTTATTGGACACATTGACAATGCTCTCCTGAACATTGCAATGTGCTACTTTTGTGCTGAAAGTCCGTTACCATGGCAACAGCGTGCTTAGGATAAGGCTCAAAATTTCTCTTTTTTCGGCCATTTTAAAAATCCTTTCTGGAAATTTTTTTTAGTGTTTCGACTATTGTACACGTCAGTCTACCGGAACATGGCAAAGCATCTGAAGTGTGTGGGGGGGGGAGGGGTGTTGCTGGAGGATTTTACCTGAAATTTGAATTTTTAATAAATATTTACCTAAAGTGTGATAATTATAATAAAGATTCTTGTGATTGACTTGCATTGTCATACTAAGTTTCGGGATAAAACGGGGGTTTGGGGGTCCTCCCCCAGAAAATTGTTCCATTTTTGAAGCTCTAGGACTGCAATTCTGGCGTTTTCTAAAGCAAATTCGCAAACAAATCGGATGTAAATTGACTGTATATTTTACAAAAATGGTTATCATTTTACACAAATAATTACTTTATTACGCAAATTTTACCTGTTGGGGGAGGAGGAGGGGGGGATGGGTACACGTCACATCTCGCAAAATATGCCAAAATTAAACCTAAATTTCACCCTTTTCCTTTGGTAAATTGTTTTAAAACTTTGCAAATTTCTTAATATCGGCTAAACAAGCTCAATATCCTTTTTTCTTAAAATTTTATTGAAGGGAATAATCTAAGTAACGTTCCATAGAATTTTTTAAAATTGAAGAAAAAAATCATTATACGAGAAAGATCTTTTATGCAAATTTTTAAATTTTTAAAACGGCCAGAAAAAGACAAATTTAGAGCTTAATTATGATAAGCGCGCTATCACCATGGTAACGGCCTTTCAGCACAAAAGTAGTAAATTGCAATGTTCAGGAGAGCATTGTCAATGTGTCCAATAAATTTCGTCTTCGTGTCATATAAAGTGAAGAAACAGAATTTTTCTGGATACAAAAGTGTAGTATAATGCAAAAACCCTATGGAGCCACCTTAAAATAGTTTTTAATTATTATTTTATGACTTTTAAACACAGAATCACTCGTGGTCATTGGTGGTCACTCGTGTGTACTTTTAGACAAGACCATCAAATGTAAAGAGCCAAAGCCTAACAACTGTGTCATATTGTATTATAGTATTATGACATTGGACCATGCTGACAAAGCTTAACAATACATTATTTACAACTGCTTTAACCCATTGAGCATCAGCGTTCTCCCCTTAACGAGTAAAATCGTCTGTTGTTATAGAAGTAGTAAAATAACGAAGTTGTGCATTAGAGTACAATAATGTGGCTTTAATGAGTTAATCCAATAATGCACAAGACAGTCCCATTCACAAATTGCCTAATGTTGATAGAGTAAAATAATAAAATCGGATGCATTTAGGTGCATTCCAACTTAATGGTTTAACTATACCAACATTTCGATCAGCTTTAAAATTGTCATTGAGAAAAGATACACCAGTAGACACTGTATGACTCTGGCATATTCCATAAGCGTTATGCTAATTCTACCAAGGCTGGCCAGTTCTTTTAATAACTATGTATCGGCAAATAGTTTTCACTAAGACTTGTTTTAATCCTTGAAAGGTACGTTTCTATTGTAGATGGAAATATCGGCCGCAAATGTTATACATTTATTACATGTAAATCTGACCAGGACCGATTATGAAAAATGCAACTATTGGCAATTCCAGTGCACTCAATTCAGCACTCTAATCAACAGAGCTACAGAGAGACAGTTGTCGAGCACTAACCACAAGTTCATATTCAACAAGTCATTCAATTTTATGTATAGTTGATAAAATTCAACAAGCTATTGAGCAGAAAAATCACTCGTGTGGGATATTTCTAGATTTAAGTAAAGCTTTTGACACAATCAATCATAATATTTTGATTAAAAAGTATGGAATTCGAGGGCTAGCTCAGCAATGGTTTGTTTCTTATCTAAGTGGAAGAAAGCATTTTGTTTCTTTTCTGAGTAGCAATGGTGAAAATGTATCATCAGATCTATCTA